GTGCTAAAGGTGGTATGATTCCCAATTTATAGATGAGAAAAGGGAGTCTCAGAGAGCCTCCTAACTTCCTTAGGTCACACAGCCTACAAGAGTCAGGTTTTGAACACAGATCTTTCTCATTCAAAGTCCAGCTCCCTATCTACTATGTCTCCATGCTCTTCTTCTTCCTTTCAACGTTTGCATTTGTATCCCCAGATCTTGGCATAATGCTTAATAAACATTTGTCATTCATTCATTCAGTGCCTGCCATGTGTCCGCCACTGTCCTAAGGCACTGAGGATAAAAAGAGGGGAAACCATCGTCCTGTACATGATTGCCTGCAGTCTCTCCACTGAAATGGGGGCTCCTGAATCCTCTGCACTTAGCAACAAAGATTATTAAATGACTGATTAATTACTTAGGAAGATACTTTCTAATTATTTGACTGACTGACTGACTACTTAGGATGATACTTTCTAATTGTTTTCCTGACTGACTCTTTAGGAAGATACTTTCTAATTGTTTTCCTGACTGACTCTTTAGGAAGATACTATCTCATTGTTTGACTAACTACTTAGGAAGATACTTTCTAATTATTTGACTGACTGACTACTTAGGATGATACTTCGCAATTGTTTGACTGACTGACTACTTAAGGAGATACTTTATAATTGTTGGCAATTACAAACAATAGAAGGTTACTCTATGTGGTAGGAACCAGAGGTATTCGAACCCTAGCTCTCCTACTTGCTTTCCTGTCTGTCTGGCCTCAGTTTCCTCATCTGTAAGATGAAAGGGTTAGACTTGATGGACTCTAAGATCTCTTTCAGCTCTAAACCTATGATCCCATGATCCCTTCCAGCTCTGAATTATGATTTAGGCTTCAGAGCAAAGTGAAACTGACTCCTTGGTGTTTGTGCCCTGCTGCTAAGGCAAAGAAAGCTGCCACTTTGGACAGATCTGAATATTCAGAAATGTTCCCTGACATCCACCCTACATTTGCCCTTTTACAACTGCCATCACTCTGGGGCCAAGCAGAACAAGGTGAATCTCTCATCCATGTGACAGTCCCTCAAAAACTTGGAAGCAGACACCATGTAAGTGCTCTCTGCTCCAAAGTAAACATCACAGGGTCTTCAGCCACTGCTCATATGACCCGGACTAGAGACTCTTCATGACCGCCCTCTGGGTGCTCTCCAGTTTGTCACGTCCTCCCTTAAACTGTGGTGGCTACACCTGAACCCCGCCCTCTACTCCAGATGGAGTAATGCAAAGTACAATGAGACTAGATCCCCTCCCCTCGACCTAGATAGGAGGCCTCTTAAGGCATCCCATGAACCTCCATCCTGGGGCTATTGCTCTAAGATCACAGTGCCCAGAATTAGGGACATTGCTTTTAGTCCTGGAATTAGCCTGAGTTAAGTGGCTCACTTAGGGGTCAAACTCCCAGTCTAGGCTTCTGACAACGTGATGATACATCTCCAGAATTTTTAAAGCTTTCAAGGAGGAGAGGGTACTGCATGGTGACTAGGACTTAGGACCACACTGTTATATGGTAGCAATTCTACTTCTAGTTGACATGTCTAATGTCCAGGAGAGGGGCAACCAGGGGGAGTGAAAACCATTTTCTTGTTCAGTACTCCTAGCACCTAGCTGGGTGGTTCAGTGGGTAGAGTGACGGACCTGGAGTCAGGAAGATTCAAGGTCAAGACTCTCCTCAGACACTTGCTAGTCGTGTGACACTGGGCGAGTCACATAACCTCTCTCTAGTTCAGTTTCCTCATTTTACAAATGAGGATAATAAAATCACCTCCCTCCCTGGGTCTTTATGAAGACAAGATGAGGCGATAATTGTAGAGTACTTGCAAACCTTAAATTATATACCACCCATTATTATTGGGTCACTGCCTAGGACATAGTAGTCACTGGATGAATGAATAAATTCATTTATTAAGCTCTTATTATGTGCTAAGCATTGGGGAAATGAATACAAAAGCAAGGTAACCCTTGTCCTCATGGGGTTCACATTCTAAGAAGGAGCAACACTAGAGGGAAGTGGCACCCAGGGAGGGGCGTTTTGGTCAGGGAAATCACAGGATGAAGCATGGAACCATCGCAGAGCAGACTGACAAATCCTTTGTGCCAGACGCAGTTATAGAGTTCATCTGACTTTGTTTCTTAATATGAGATCTAAATCTGTCATTCTGAGATTTCACACACACACACACACACACACACACACACACACACACACACACTCCATTGTTCCTAAGTCTATTTTCTAGGGACAAGTCTCATCCCCCTTCCGTATGACAGCTGACTATAAATAGTTCCATGGATGAGAGTTGTTAGCGTAAGAGATGAAATGTAGGGGAGGAGAGGGAAAGGAGTGGGTACTTATATGGGAGAGGAGTAGGTGTCAAGCAAATGACACATAGATGCTGTGGTCTATTGAGTGAGTTAATAGATTGACTGATTAATGAATTAATGGCATAAGGAAAGATCTAGTATACAAAGGAAGCTTTCGTGAGGGTGAGCCAGGGTCTTACATGGGCTCTGACAGGGGCAGATGCCTCATGATGTTTTAAGTGTGTTCCTGAAAAGCTGTTCGTAAACAAAACTTTTGTAAATGGAATGTTATTTAAAGGCCGCAGTGGGACTTCTTATCTAAAGGCCTGTTGGCCCCCAGCCTGGTTATGCATTCATCCCACCTGCATTTCTAGCTGCTTACTCATCTTGTTCTGTTGGCCTGCCCTCCTCCCACCCTGAGTCTGCTCCTGTTTATTCCCATGATGCTGATGCTCTGGCTTCTGCCTCACCATCACCTCCAAGGGATTCAGAACTAACCCAGATACATTCTGGGGGTCCAAAGACTGAAAGTTTTGGATCTTAGGTCTACAGTAGTATGGGACAACCAACCCTTCGGTTCAAAGGATCATAGGTTCAGAGCTGGAAGAGACCTGAGAGTCCCTTTCCTCTTAGAGATTAAGAAAATAAGGCATTAAGAAGTTAGGGTCACATACAGTTAAGTGACAACCGTGATTCAACCCAGGTCTTATGACTCCAACTCTAGTGCCTTTCCCACTGAACTATCCCACCTCAAATAATTTCAGGTAATTGATCTCGGAAGCACAGAATGGAGGACAACAGAATGGCTAGATAACAGTATCAGGGGAGAAAGATCTGGGGGTTATAGTGGACTACATTTGTCATGAATCAAATGTGTGTTTTGACAATCAAACAGCTCTTCTAGGCTGCATTAAGAGAGACACAATGTACTTTGTCACCTTCCTTGCATGCCTGGAATGCTGCGGTCAGTCCTAGGGGCCCCATGATTGTTGTCAGTGTTTGAAGAGTTGTGATATAGGCAGTAGATAGAGCACCAGCCCTGGAGTCAGGAGGACCTGAGTTCAAATCTGACCTCAGACACATAACACCTACTAGCTGTGTGACCCTGGACAAGTCCCTTAACCTCATTGCCTAGCCAAAAAAAAAAAAAGAGTTGTGACATGGAAGAAAGATAAGATTTTTTTTCTATTTGGTCCTAGAGGGAAGAATTAGGAGCAATGGGGAGGTAAAGAATGTCAAATTTGGGTGTCAGGAAAGGAAGAATTGCTTAACAATTAGATCGAGTGAAAAACAGAACCGGCTGATTTAGGAGGGAAGGAGTTTCCCCTCACAGAAGGCCTTCAAGAGGTTGAATGATGACTTCTCAGGGAGATTCTGAGACTACTCGGGCCGAGGCACCACCGAAATGTATGCTTCTATGATTCCACTCGCGATCACATCGGAGCCAATGCCACGGGGCACAGCAGAGAGAGCGCTTGGCCTGGAGTCGAGAAGATTTGCCTTCAAACCCAGCCTCAGACCCTTCCTTGCTTCAGTCTCTCAACTGCAAAATGGAGATAATAAGAGTACCTCCCTCCCAGGGATGTTGTGAGGATCAAATGAGGTCATTGTAGAGAGCTTTGCACACCTTAAAGTGCCTTGTAAATGTGGAGGAGGAGGAGGAGGAGGAGGAAGGGGAGGAGGGGGAGAAGGGGGAGGAGGGGGAGGAGGGGGAGGGGGAGGAGGGGTGGCAGCGGTGGGTGGGTGTTGGTGGGAGTTATGTTCTTATAGGGAATAGAGTACAGGACTCGGAGGCAGAAAGACCTGAGCTCAAATCTCACTACAGACACTTAGAAACTGTGATCCAAGACAAGTGACATAGTCTCTCTGATTCCCAGTTTTCCCATCTGTAAAATGGAGATAATAGTTGCTGTGGAACTTTTATCACAGGGTTGTCATGAGGTTCAAATAAGATAATGAATGTAAGGGGCTTCCCACCACTTAAAGCACTGTCAATATCATGGGGGGGGGGGGGATCAGAGCTATGTTATAACTGGTATAAGGAATCTGCATGAGGGAACACTCTCTTCCCATGCCGATGGCGCCTGTCCTGTAAGTTATAACATTAAAGAGCTGTCTGGGTCACTTTCTATAATAACAAGGTCATCTACTACTACTACTACTACTACTACTACTACTACTACTACTACTACTACTACTACTACT